TTCTAAGTCATATACATAATTTGAGACCGAAATTCGGTGTTTTTATGTGTTCATTAGAAGTGGTACTAAAGACCCAATATCAGGTACTACAACAATATAAAAATGGTACAATCTTACTCTATGTCTGGTACTACTTTTTGTAAATATTGACCGAAATTGAAATAATCAATTTTCGTTCAAAAAAGTAGGTACTAATCAATCAAAAAGAGGTACCACGTAGAAGAAGATGCGGTACTATTTTGGATAAAACATGTACTATTTTAAGAATCATGATTCTTCTAATCCTTCATATCTACCATGTCACGTGGATCGTTCACGCGTGATTTGGATGAAAAATAGTGGAAGTTAAAACATATCGGTAGAATTTGGAGTAGACAATTAGACATGTATGATGATTCTATGAGATGAAGTGTGTCATTCAATGAAATGAAGTGTATTAGTAGTGTTTTTTCATTAGTGTGTCGAGTTCATGACCATTTTACGATTAAACTCAATTAAAAACATTTTAAATCGCATTTTAACTAATGTGAGAGTGATTATGAGTCATATAAATATCATTTGAGACCGAAATTCAGTGTTTTTTTATGTGTTTGTTACAAGTGGTACTAAAGACCCAATATGAGGTACTACAACAATATAAAACTGGTACTATCTTACTCTATGTCCGGTACTACTTTTTGTAAATGTTGACCAAAATTGAAATAATCAATTTTCGTTCAAAAAAGTAGGTACTAATCGATCAAAAATAGGTATTACGTAGAAGAAGTTGCAGTACTATTTTGGCTAAAATAGGTACTATTTCAAGAATCGTGATTCCAGAATCCTTCATGTCTACTATGACACGTGGATCGTTTACGCGTGATTTGGATGAAAAAATATTGGAAGTTAAAACAGATAGGTAGAATTTGGAGTAGTCATGTATGATGATTCTATGAGATGAAGTGTATTAATAGTGTTTTGTCATTACTGTGTCGAGTTCATGACCAATTTGTGATTAAACTCAAATAAAAATATTTTAATTCTCATATAAACTAATATGAGAGTGATTATGGGTCATAGAAATATCATGAGAAATAAATTCAGTGTTTATTTATGTTCGTCAGAGTTGGTACTGAAGACCCGATATGTGGTACTAAGACACCATAAAGTCGGTACTATCTTACTCTAAACCATGAACTCATAAACACTGAATTACAATGTGTGAACAATATTTCAGGTAGTTCATATAAATTCATGTACAACAACACTTTTTTATTTTATTTCATCAATTAGCTGACAAAGGGGCACAACACTATCATTAGTTTTATTTCTTTCCACACATACAGAAAAACAATGAGACAAGAATACCTATAAAGTTGTACCACTACAACAACAATGCAGTACACCATGAATTCAAGCTCAAGATCAAGAAAGACACGTGAATCAATCCACTTGAAAAATACTTCTAAACCGGAAAACAATCAATAAGCGCCCTCAATACCAAATCGCTCGACCATATTCTCCCTGAGATTCAATCCTGCCATTGAGTCATCCGAAACACTGCTAGCCTGCGCCAGCTCCAATGTACCCTTATAATTCCTCATAGCCTGAACAATGGATGACCGCGCGTCGTCTCGCGGCAAATTTATATTTATAAAATGTTCCTCGACTTACCCCTACCAACAAGTAGTAGTGATGAGCAAGGGTCGATCCCACAGGGAGTGTGGTATAAATCGTGATTTTATTATATTAATTAGATTAAAATAAAAAAAGGGGAAATTTTGATTTAGAACGAAACTACTAGCAAAACGAGAAAATAAACTAGAACTAGAAATAAATGATTAAAGTGCATAGAAATAACAAATAATCTAATGGAAATAATAATGAAATCGGTCCCAGGTCGGTTTATGCCCTCGGTTAACTAGTCCAATTAATGTATTTATCAAGTTTCACTCGTCTTCTAAAACTACCGGTCCTATATAGCAATAAGTTCTGCTACCCGAATTCTCCCTTAATTATACTTAATAGAAACAGGCTCTTCAATTAATTCTAACTAGCGAACAACTCGGAATAAGCTCTCCTAATTTAATCCACTAGTTGCATTAGAATCTAGGAAAATAGACGATCTAAGCCACAAACACACAAACTCGGTTCATGTAACTTATGTTGTGTTATCCCTAACAATGCACGACTGTTAGTTGCTACAAGCGAAATAAGAACTACGACAATTACACGGATTGAAGTCTTAAATCTAGAAATTAACATGCAATCCTCAACTTAGGTGATCAAGCTAAATTAAAGAACACATATTATGACATGAAACTAGAATAATACAATCAATTTTTATACGACGAGTAAAACAAAATAAAATTGCATTAATGAAACATAGTCACCGAGGGTTCAACGTTCCTAAAACCGAAATAGTGTTTAGCTACTCATAGCTAAATGATAAAAATAAAAATAATAATCCGTGTTGTTCAATCAAAATAAAACAAAGCAAATAAAACTAAATAAAATCGAACTCCCAATGTCCAAAGTGATTCACGGTTGAATTGAACTCCAAGCAGCAATAGCACTTCCTTTTCTCTTCGTCCACGTCCCAAAAGCCAAGCCTGATGATCCAGTTTTTTTTCTCCCTCCTTTTTTTCTCGTATAAGTCCCCCGTAAGCAAAATTAAGAGTCCCCTTGATTACAACTTCTCACCACCAAAATCATGAATTAAAATTCATCCAATCACCATCTCATTCCCTGCACCAATCGGCCCAAAATTGAGAGTCCACTCAAAATGAAATTCTCCTTAATTAATTCTTCTTGCTCAAGTCAGCAACATGTCCCAATTAACTCCACATCAGATCCACATAAGCCGCCACATCATTAATATGCATAATATCTGCAAAATAGACAAAAAAAAA